GCAAAAACGTTTCATTAGACTAATTTTTGATCTCAAATACAGAGAATCTTATAAGAAGACATTCCAAGACAAAAAAAATTTCACATTACCATGTATTTATCTTTACAAAATATTAAACTACGTTCATGTATATTCCCATTTGCTAACAAGAAATGAAGAAATTCACTCTCATCAAAAGAGACGGTGAAACGACTTCCATCAGGTAAAAATAAACCGTAACGAGTACAAAGGTTCGCCACTTTATGACGGGCAAAATATTTTAACTTATTACCACACAGCATCAGAAGTGAAACAAATATTCTCAAATTCAAGAAAAAAGTCAAAGACTTCTTGGTAACAAGTTGTTTTTATTCCTTGAAAGAGTATGAAAATAATATTTTTGCGTAACAAGTGTTGTTATTGATATAAGTGATATTAGATAAAATATCTTTTGTAAAATGTGACGTGTCATATATACATTCTTGTATCAGAAATGATGAATAAATTTGATTTGATTTGATTTGATTAATTCCTAGGTAGCAGTCATCACACAGACTACAACCTAGGACCTCCCGAATTATTTTTTAGCCTTCAGTACATTATCTACATCATTATCATCTTTTTTTCAATGAAACCATTTAAAATGAAACATTTTATCTCTGAATATAACACTTTCGCTTCTTTACAGAATTCCTCGCCCCTGGTGCTCCCTGTGAAATCAACATAGATGGGAAAACAATGGAAAAAGTTCACCAAGAGATGAAAACACCAAGTCGATTCACTTTTGACGCTGCTCAAGAACATGTTTATACGTTGTTGTTGAAGAAGGACTGTTACCCGAGGTTCATCAGATCGGAATACTACAAGAATCTATTAGCAACAGGGATACAACTTCCTCAAAAGAAACGGTTTGTAATAATTTCTTATTAGTCAGTGGGCTATGCTTGAAGACTGGCAGTAAACAAATCTAAAGAAATGAACTTTAAACGTTTAAGCCAGTCTCGAATATACCTACACAGTTTGTTGAATGAACTAACGCCTATCATAAAACAACTACTCCTACTACGTGGCTGATACCACGAAGGGCGTTGGATTATATCCGACAGGCGTCAGTGCAGGAATCTTCACAGAAAATTTCCCGCATATGCAATTGGAATATGCAAATGAAAGAGACGACCTTCAATTTTGGAACGGGCATACTTGCAGGGGTTCTTTAGCCACTCGTCAGTGCAAGATAGTGACCATCATCGACCTAAAGTCAACGATATTTCATAATATCGAGTATTTCATTACTCGTCTTGAGTTGGAGCGAACATCAAAAATGTCACTCCATCTAGTGGACGAGGTACTAACCAACTGTATATCCGAAATTTGTCTGATTTTTCTGAATAAGGAAGAAAATACACGAGGAATGGAATACTCTGAAAGAATTCATCATCAATCATTGACTTCAGGTCGATGATGGTCACTATCTGTATAATAATAATAATGTGTCTATATTCTGGTAAATCTAGGAGTGTAGTTTTTTTATTTTCTTTTCGTGTTAACAAGTTTAATTATGTCAGTAATTAAATAATATGAATTCAACTATCAGGTACACAAATACAAATACATATCTGAATATAAATATCAGAGATGCGATTTTGTTCCATCCCTTTCATAAAAGAGGACGTATATGCTTCTCCACGCACAGGTGATTTTGATGAAACTGGGGACACGTGTGAATCGTTGTATTTGTAGCACGTGCAGTATACCGTATAATGTCCTCTGTGAGTTTGAGGTGCATATAGATTATATCAAGTAGCCACATTTTCTGCTGAAAATTTAAATTTTGGATCAAATTGGTTTGATTTTTCGTAATCGGAGTCTTTTAATTCCTATGTGACTTTCTTGTATCGTCCAAAANTGTCATGACATAAGTGATAACTACCCGTGAAAACTATCCATGGGTAGTTATCAGTGTAATGATGGTTTCATTGGTTATTTCGACACACATGACTAGAAATAGACAAATTTGATAGGATAATTTTTTTGACAAAAAATTTTCATTACAATCAGAACCAGATTTTCATATATAATTATCCAAAATGTTTTGTCCCATAAAAGTAGTGTACAATATCGGTGGAAAATCTATGAAAATCAATTATAATCCCAAGGCTATCATCAAGGCGAAGTCAAATCAGTAATTCAAAATCACCACTTAACCTTACAGAAAATCAGCAGTATGGAATATGCGTAAAATACAGAAGATTAAAAAAAATTATAATAGGACTTTTGAAGACTCGAAGATCTTGGTTTATTGCTTCCACAAAAAATTATCATAGTAGTACTTGAAACTGATCACAAAGCCTATTATGATAAGAATAGTTTGTTTCCAATATCTCCAATTTTTCGAGAAAGATTGATAACTTATGATACATCATTAAAAAGGTAAAATCAGGTTCTATTCAAACTGAAAGACTCCAATGTAGCGCCTATAAGAAAAAATAAAGTTGATGATGGTGGCCAGAAAACGAAACATCAGATAGCAAATCTGAAGACACCACTATGTAGCAGGCAAGAAGTGGCAATCTCAAAAGGCAATTCATTTTCGAATCATTCAAAAAGTTAAGCTAGAAAAAAATAACCATTTTCTGAAATTTCTGTTTTTCCGGATATCTCCGGATATACGCGGAATTTCTAAACTTTCTCAACGGCATATTGTTAGTCAGGTAAATGCGCAACTTTGCCCCCATCCAACCATCTTTGTATCTCTCATAGTTTCCGAGATCCCAATGGTGAGAATCAAATTTGAAACACCCTATAGATGTGTAAGGGAGTTAACAAGCTGGCTGGTATAAATAGAAAAAACAGTGGTTCAAGGATTAAACCTTGTGGCACTCCCGACTTCAATTTGAGAAAGTTCGACTGATTAGCTTCTACTGTCACACTTCAATATCTTTTCCAGATAATCATTAAACAATTCAACACCATCTTTAGATATTCTCATTTGATACAAGGCATTAGCACATCATAGTTTATAGTGCCAAATGCCCTACTAAAATCAAGAAGTATCACGGCTGTACATAAACCTTTATTTTAATCTGTGAGAATATTATCGACTGACTCTATGCAGCGAAGCGAAAGTGTAACTTTGTCCTCTTCTAAATCCAGATTGTGTCGGAGGTAAAACTGATTTTTCATTCAGGTGATTCGTCATCTAGTAATCAACAATTGTTCCCAATACATTTTACATTATGGGTTGAATGCTTATTGCACGAAATTCCTTCAATTCTTGGGGATTAGTAGTTTTTGGTAGTGGTAATATCAGAACATTAGGAAAAACATTATTGGTGAGACAATATAGTTGATGACATGGGTGAAATAAGCAAGGATTACTAGACAGCATAGAAAAGTCATTTTGATATTCAAACCATTAACCCCAAATGCATTGGTTTTTATTTGGCAAATGGTTTGGGGAATCAAAGACTGGTCGACTGGGAATTATAATTGGGATTATATAATGATGGGGATATACAGGGTGGGCCATCGAAAACTTGAAAATCCGAAAAAAAGCTCAGACAGGTCGATTTTTATAGAGCGGGGGGGACAGTTTTTTTTTCCATATACAGCGTCGTCACTTCAACCCCGGAGCAGAGAGGTGAACAACCCTTGGAATTTCAATAGGGAATAGGGTGCGAGCCGCACATCGTTTGGAAGATCTTGAAATTCTCCAAACAATGGTGTACATTTTTTTTTGAATTTGGACGTATTTAAAAGAGTTCTTTCCGATAACTAACTTCTTCAATATTGTTAATAGCAACAAATTGTTGTACGCCACTGCTCAGTTGGCATATTTTTGGAACTCTTTCATTTGTTTCTTACGATTAGAGGACTACTACAATTAAGAATTGATTTAAAATGCCGTTTCTATTTCTCATTTTCATGTTAAAAGTGATATCTATATTATTACTAGTAGTGAGTGCCATAAAGTGTTGCTAAAGAAACAATGGTTCACACAACTGCAGAGAGGGCTGAGTTAATTGAACTGTACTATGGAAATAGAGGTTGTGCTGCGAGAGCCGCTGAACAGTTTAATCAACAACATGGGAAGAATGTGTCGCGACAGTATGTTTTCGATTTAATTGCAAAATTTCGCGCAACTGTATCTGTAGCTAATTAAAAACGGCAAATCAAATCACCAGTAACAAATGAGGCGACACAAGTCACAATTCTGGGTCATGTTGAGCTTGACCATACTTTGAGCACAAGAAAGTTAGCATTTGTTTCCGGGGTGTCACGAACTAGCGTTCAGTGTATTTCAAAAACCCTCAAAATTCATCCTTATAAGATTAAATTAACGCAAGAACTGAATGATGATGATTTCGATCGACGCTTGCAATTTTGCGAGTTGGTTAGTGAACGAGCGGTGGAAAATCCAAATTTTGTTTTCAACATTTGCTTCAATAATTAATGTTTTTTTTTACCTAAATGTCACAGTTAATTGCCATAATTGTCGCTGTTGGGCTAATTCAAATCCTCACATTTTTCATGAAGGGCATTCTCAACGTCCACATAAATTAAATGTGTGGGCTGGAATTTTTGGTGACAGTATTGTTGGTCCATTGTTTTTTAGAAGGCAATTTAACTGGACGAATGTATCTGGAGATTCTTGAAGATACTATGACCACAATGACCAATCAAGAACTCATTATTTATTGTGGAATTGAAATGATAATAATCGTATACGTTCTGTGGGAGGTATGTTTATGAAAATCCATTGTTACAGAGCCCTGAAGAAGAATTTGATTAAATTTGAAACGTCGTTAAAACATTATTCTGTTACCCAACCAACCTCACGATTTGATCTCCACAAACTTTATTTGAAAAATATATCACGACATGTTTCGCTAACACAGTTGCCTCTTCAACAGTAATTTGAATATTACAAATTGTTTCTTACGCTAATATCTCTGTAACTGTAGAGTAGGGAGGGTGAGTGTAAGCCCACAGCACAGGCCACATGTGACCCATTGTACAACCTCCCGAGGAGTTGTTCTCCTAGATCATCATCCAACTTGTCCTTTCCAGGAAGGTGGACAGGTCGCTGGGATACATCTCCTTTATATCCGCAGGTGTAGGCCAAGACTCGCCGAACACACACTCTCTTATTGACGATAATTCCGGGCACTCGCACAGGACATGCCTGATAGTCTCATCTTCCTCTTCACACATCCTGCATAGAGGTGTGTCCACTAGCCACATATTATGGATGTGTTTCCTTAGTTGACAGTGACCAGTCAGAAATCCTACTGTTAAGCGTAGATTTTTCCTGGTCATTGCCAAATATTTCTTCGGCGCCAGCTTCCCAGGGTCACCCAAGGTGATCCTGGCAATATTACATCCTTTGGTTTCGTCCCATTTCCTTAAGGATTGAGCATGGGTGTAACACTTGACTAGGGTGGGTGCCACTTGGTCCTAAAATTCTTAGTCCAGCTGCTTCCTTGGCTGAAGAGTCGGCAATGCGATTACCGTTACTCCTGTCGTGCCCTTTAACCCACCTCAGGATGATATTATTATCTACCTATCTAAATCTTGGTGACACTCTAGTACTAGCCCTGAGGTTATACGTTGTCTGTTCAAGGCTAATAGGGCTTGTCTGCTGTCAGTGCAGATTGTTATATTTTCGCTAAAAATTCCGTTCTTCGTTAATTCTTTTGTGGCGATTGAGATACCAAACAGTTCTGTTTGGACCACGCTGGTGTTTCTTTCCATTCCCCACTTAATTCTTAGGCTTAGTGATCTGGAGTACACTCCACAGCCTGAGCCTTCTTCGGTTTTTGAGCCGTCTGTGTAAACCCCTATTGCATTTGTACCATCTGACTCTATGTTCTGCTTTATTTGTATTTTGTAGCGTTTATTAAACACAAACCTGGGTTCAATTGTATCGCTTGTTGCCTGTAGCAGAGGTTGCGCAGTAAGCGCTCCCCGCCACAGGCCTAGCTTAAATTGACCCATTCCTATTTCGAAGTTCACACCAGCCGTGCGCAATCGTACCATGGCCATCAACGCAATCTCCTCAACGTACAGATCAAGAGGGGTCAGGCCCGTGATTAATTCCATTGCCGCGGTTGGTGTTGTTCTCTTGGCTCCTGTGATGTTTAAACAAGCTATTCGCTGTATTTGGTATAATTTTTAGATGGCCGTTGCTTGTAGAACTTTCGGTTCCCATGCAATGGATCCATACGTTAACGTAGGTCTTATTATTGCAGTGTAGATCCAGGTGACCACACGGGGTGAAAAACCCCATGCGCATCCCACTGTCCTCCAACATTGCTCATAAGCTACGTATGCTCTTTTTGCTCTACTCTGTAAATGAGAGTTCCATGTTGGCTTTCTGTTGAGGATATTATCAAGGTATTTTACCTCTTCCGAGACTGTTTAGTTTGCTTTTGAAGATTTTGGGAGGTTTTAAGCCCATTAAACTTCTTTTTCTGGTAGAAAGAACCATCTCAGTCTTCTTGGGATTGATAGACAGTGAGTGTTCCTTACACCATGTTTCTAATAATTTGAGCCCATCCTGCGCTCTATCGCACAGTGTGTTTACAAATTTGCCGGTCTGCAAGATAACTATGTCATCTGCGTATGCAATTGTGTAGTATCTATTTTTGTTAAGGTGATTAATTAGGGTATCCAGAACTATGTTCCAGAGGATGGGTGACAATACCCCTCCCTGTGTACATTTCTTCATGACCAGTCCTTTCACTGTGATGTCTTCTACTTTAATACTTATTGCTTTACTAGAGAGCATCTTGAGTATCCGTTCTCCTTCTACCAGGGGTACATTCCTTGAGTGTAGTTGCTGGGTAATTGTTGGGAAGGTTGTTTTATCTATGAATATACCCAGGGTGGATTCTTTGTTGTCCAATGATCTCTCGATTCTGCTAACCACATGGTGAAGGGCCAAATCAGTAGACCTTCCCGGAGTATATCCATGTTGATTTGGATGAAGTGGGTTGTGAACTAGTAATTCTTCTCTTATGAACCGTTCACATAGCCTCTCCATGGTTTTTAAGAAAGACGATGTGAGACTAATTGGTCGGAATGCTTTTGGTAGGGTGTTGCAGTCCATCCTAACTGGTATGGGTATCAATACTACTCTTACTTCTCTCCACTTACTGAGAACATACCTCAGAGCTAGAGAGGCTCTGAATATTCTAACCAGCTGCGGCATAAGAGTGTCCAGTTCCCACTGAAGTGGAGTGGTCTTATATCGTCAGGTCCTGGTGACTTGAAGGAGGAAAAGCCCGATATAGCCCATCTCATTTTGTCCACATCAATTACTGCACTATCAGATAAGTAGTCATATGTGGGGGTGTTGTTGGTACATCCGTCCAGTTCATCGTTCCAGGAAAGACAGAACCTGAGAAGTGAGTTTCCATAAGAATCTCAGCACTCTTCTGGAGGTTGGCGGCGTTGTCGCGATTTTCCCTCGTCAGGATGCCGATACTCTTATGGTATTATTTTCTATGTGTAAAATTTCGAACTCTTCGTTAAAGATATGATTTTCTTCTAAGAGATGATTTGAATATGTTGAACTTGTTTTCTTATTTAAATAGCTCATATGATGTTCCTGGATTCGATTCCTAAATGTTCTGCCAGTTTGACCAATACATAAGGACACGTTCTACACGTTAATTTATACTCATGATTTCTCGAATTTGGATGTTCTTCGGAAACCTTTATAGTCAACTTTTTTCACACAGGTTTTTCGGATTTGGCCAACCAAAGAAGAAAATATCCACGACGTCAACTCCAAATCAACAACATCTTCAACAGCAAGCTTCTCAAGGAACCGTAGTTATGTGTGGGGCCTTACCTAAACGCAGAGGAAGCGACAGGAGTCTTTCCGGTTCGGCTCATGAGCTTGCCATTTCAGGTGTTAAAGATTCCAAAGTGCCACATTCGCATTCTCAAAGTAATTTGAGTGATATTCCCTACAGGTAAGATCCAACTCTTTCGTTAAAAACAACTGAAACAGTTTCAGAGGCTGCGGAATAAGCGCATGGCTTTACATGACGCCTTGTATAACCACACGTATAACTGTGACACTACGTTTATTCATTTCAACATGAATCAATTGTTGAATATACAGCATCTGAGGATTGAGAAAATGTATGCTTGGAAAAGTTCAAATTCAATTAATCTTCCTCATACTAGATGTCAACGAAACTTTTAGAAAAGTCATGACTTCTAGACAAGGTGTATCAAAATGAGATTTGTATTAGGTGAATGGTATGTGAAAAGGAAAGTTATCATATATTTTTCACTCTCCGGCTACCACCAGTTTCACCAGAAATAGCTCCAGTTCAAAATTTTTAAATGGAATATATGGTTTTCTTTTTTTAAATTACTTTTGAAATTGCCTATTGCTTGCCATAATCGGACGTAAACTAATCTAAGGACCTCAGGTGATATCAGAAAGCTACAATCGCGGAGTTTCAGTGACCAGTAGCATGACTAGTATGTCACCCATATTTGGAATAACGCAATTGAGAAACATGGAGAGTTAAGAGCTCTTGCCCTTGAATTCTCTAAAGCCTTTGACCATGTGTGGCATGAGGGTTTGCTGACCAAATTTCGATACTGTGGCTTGTCAGATCATTTTTCTGTACGGCTCTCCTGCTTCCGTCGTCGACGGGTATCTCTCGAATACTTATACTATCAACGCTGGTGTTTCCCAGGGATCCCTATTGTCTCCAGCCCTCTTTTCGTTGTATGTCAACGAATTATTGGAAAAAACCAAGATCCCAGGACATCAGCTGCGTAGAAGATATGTCAGAATTTTTAACAAAAAACGCAATCATACCACCAAAACAACATGGTTTCGTCAAAGGTAGATCAACCACCAGCAATCTACTATAATGCATGAACGATTGGACGACAGCTTACGATAGGAAAATACTGACAGATATCGTTTATCTTGACTTTGCCAAGGCTTTCGACAGGGTCCCAGTGAGGAGGCTAATGCACAAACTTAACACACACGGTATTCGAGGCCAACTAAACCTATGGATTGAAAATTACACGACAGATAGAACTTTCCCGGTCAAAGTGGGTCACTCTTTTTCTTCGCACAGACAAGTTACAAGTTCCCCAGGGATCTGTTCTTGGCCCGCTCCTCTTCGTTGTTTATGCAAGTGATCTTGCTCTTCACATGAAGTCCAGCAAGTCGATACTAAACTGTATGGAAATGCCTTAGTCGAACATCATTTCCTTCAAGAAACCCTCAACTCGATTAGTCAGTGGTGCGAGGATTGGCTACGTCGACAAATGCGTCGTACTTCATCAAGGAAAGAACAATCCACTTCATACGTACACAATAAGCGGTCAATCGTTACGTACAGTGTCCTTACATGTAGACTTGGGAGTGACAATTAATACTGACTTAACTTGGTCCGAACATATAATATCCACATGCAAACGTGCAAACACACTGATTTACTTCATCCGCAAAACGTTCCTCCATCTATCATATTCAAGTTCCATAAAACTCTACAAAACTTACGTTCGTCCAATCATGCAGGTCCAGTGTGGTGTCCTGTTCTGGTGCGCGATAGGGACTTGTTAGAAAATGTACAACGTCGAGCCACATGTATGACTTTTGGTGAAGTGCGTCCAACCTATCCCGAAAGACTGAGGATGGCACAACTGCTAGCTTTTGACCAACGTCGACTCCATGGGGATCTCATCATATATTTCCGTATAGCTAAGTATAACTATGCTAATCAGAAAGAACTTTTTGTTTTCAACAATGATTCGCGGTTACGTGAACACACACTCAAATTAAATAATGAAAAATTCGCAACGAGGCAGAGACAATATTTTTTTGGGAATCGTATTTTCGAAACATGGAATAACTTACCCAACGATGTTATGAATTCCGACTCAGTGAACAGTTTCAAAAACGAAATACACATTTGCTTATTTGCTTAATCGGCTCTATGGATATATTTAATATTTTTCTTTTCTTTTTCCATGCATTGTATTAACTTGTTGATATCCTTCGTTTTTTAGGCCTACATAGGACTTTGTCCTCAGCTTTTATTCATATGTAATATTGAAAAAATAATGAAGGCTAAAGGCCTTTCAACTACCCTAAAATGGTGCGCTTGAATAGTGAGCCATTAAAACAACAAGAAGCTTCAGATTAGGGTTATATTACAAAATCAATGAAAAGAATTAACGGGTATGCTTATAGACCCTAACAAATCAACGTGTAAAAATATAGCATGAGAGTAAAACAAAAAACAATAAGCAAAAATGTTTGAAAGGTAAGAACGAAATCTAACGAGAAAGCACGTCTAAAATAGCTGATTCTGAAACAAACCGAAAACCTAAATAACCGTATTCGAATATCGCGGGCATTCTGAAGTGAGTATATAAACTTCAAATCCGTATGTACTCATTGCTACAATATTTACACATATGAAAGGGGTGTAGTGTGATTCATTGCCCTTCTTATATTATCCCCAAGACGCAACAACAATAAGACAATTATTACAAAATCAAAATGACATCGCCACTCTCTACTGGGTTCTGGTATCCCTCTTTGGTACGGTATCCGTGTGAAATAGCCCCCATACGAACGACAACTCTCAGAAGTTGAGAAACTTGTGCGAGCTAAGGACTAACGAGGTCTTACCTTTCAACGTGTGATTCCTAACACAGTTGCGGAATCATTCCAGCTTCAATCAGATAAATTCTCTCGGGAAAAATATCTGGTCGAGGCAGGAATCGAACCCACGATCTGCCGATCGTGAGTCGGGCGCACTACCACCGCGGCCAATTCCTCTATCGCAGAATCCCTTTTCGCGACCCTATTCCGCAACTGCCCCAATCAACTACCTAATAGTATTACCAAGGCCGAAAACTGTTCGTAACACTCCTACCTTGTACCGTTCCCTGATTAATATTTCCGAATTTTTCCATAACCCTTCCTAATCAAAACCTATATGTTCTTTTCATCGAAGTCATTGGTCAGATATGGCCTAACTTCCTATCCACGAAGCTGAAATGCAAACTCGTAGCTTGCATTTTCACGTTTCCAGTATTATAACGTATCAACAGGATAGCTGAAACATGACCATTCATGATGCCGCCAAAGTTCAACAATCATAAATTTAATTCAACGCTTACTCTGTTGGAAACATTTCGATGTCAAAAAACCGAGTGACCGACCCCGATCTTTATGAATAAAATTATATTTTTCGTTAACTATCGCACTGGCAGTTATTACAGTTGGACACAATATGGATCCTTGGCGAACACCAGCGTTGATGGTGAAAGTACTTTAAAGATATCTATCGACATTCACTTGCAGGGAACGTTTTCTCAGGAAGCTGAGAAGCCATACACAAAAATGATTCGACAATCCATAGCAATGAAGTTTGGCCAGCGAACTCTCATGCCACACACGGACAAAGGCCTTAGAAATATCAAGCGCAACATCTCTTGATTCTCCATGTTTCTCTATTGCATTATTACAAATATGGATGACATACGATAGAAGGTCGCCTGTTGATCTTTGTATCCGGATATCGAGGATTGTTCAAGATATTGAAGCCATTGTTGAGGATATAATGGTTTACGGCTTTCTTCATGATTTTTCATATCACTGATAGCAAAGCGACTGATCTATAGTTATTTGGAAGATTTTTCTTGCCCTTTTTGAGAATACGCTGAACGCGAGCAATCTTCCAACAAGAAGGAAAAATCCCTTTCTCGTAAGACAGTTTGAAAAGTATGCAAAATACTGGTGCGAGTTCATTTGCGCACTTTTTAGGTACTCCGCGGAATCGTCTACTCCCAGATACCCCCACAGATAATCCCACAATTGCTGGAGACAAGGCTGCTGCTAGCAGGATGGCCAACCAAGTTAAACAGGCCATCATTGACCACAGAAACGAGAGGTGGAGCGAGTGTTTGGAATCTCTCGAACCTGAGGATGATGAGCTATGGCGAGTCACCCACAGGCTCGAGAAGAGAAAAACTGCTCCCTCCCCTCTTCACGGACAGCGCGGTATCTGCTACTCCCCCGCCTATTGACCGTGATATCCGGCTGGAGCAACATGTTCAGCGAATCCTTAGGAAAAATGATGACGACGTGATTCGTGCAGCTTCGGAGAAAGAACTAAGGGGGTACATTAGGGCCTCCAAACACAAGAAGGCTCCGGGAATCGATTCAATCAACAATAGGTTGTTGAGGCAGCTCCAGGAGAACTTCATCAGATATCTATTGGATATAATAAACAGCTCGATCGCCCTCATATACTTCCCTCGAAGATGGAAGCATGCCGTAGTTGTCATGATTCCGAAACAGGGCCAGAACCCGCTGTTTCCTCGGAATCATCGTCCGCTTAGTCTGCTCTGCTCAACGGCTAAGCTGGCTGAACGCGTTGTGCTGCAAATGCTAACCGAAGAAGTTGAAGACCGAAATGTTCTACCTGATGAAAAATTCGGCTTCAGGAGAGCACACTCCACTGAGCTGCAGGCCTTGAGACTGGTCGAAAACTTAACTTAATAATAAGAAGACAGTCCATCTTGTCCTCCTGCACATTTCGAAAGCCTTCGACCGAGTATGGCACGAAGGTTTATTACATAAAATGCTCAATTTCAACCTGCCTCGAGGCCTGATCCGATGGATTAGGTTCTTTCCGAAGGGCAAAACATTTCAGGTTCGAGTTGAAGGAACCCTGTCTCCCGTCAGGAAAATCCAAGCTGGAGTGCCTCAAGGAGCTGTGCTATCTCCACTACTGTACAGCCTTTACGTGAGCGACCTTCCGAGGTTCGATCACGTGAAAGTTTCCCTATACGCCGATGATACGGCTCTCCTCGCTTCTTTCATGGGTCGAGGGTTGCAACGCGCATTGGACGACCTCGAACGCTGGTATCTGGAGTGGAAGATTCAGGTGAACCCAGGAAAAACTCAGGCGATAGATTTGGGGAGGCGAAACGTTTCTCCAGATACAAGAGAATCGATTTCAGGCAGGGAGATCGAATGGCAAACGCGAGTCAAATACCTAGGTCTTTGGGTAGACCGCCGACTCACCTGGATAAATCACATTGCCTACATCAAGAACAGAGAACAAATGAGGATAGCCAAACTCTATCCTCTGATCAATAGAAACTCTGAGCTCAGTCTTAGAAATAAAATTTTATTATACAACACGATGTTCAAGCCTGTCATTAAGTATGCTTCAGGCGCTTGGAGACAAACCGCTCCGTCAAACCTCTACACTTTGGAAAGGTTGCAAAATAAACTTCTCAGGATACTGGTGAATTCTCCATCGTCCGTGCGGAATGAAGCCATCCGCAGAGACTTGAAGCTGATAACTATACGGCAGTCCATTCAGTCGAGGAATCAGAGAGTTTTCGAATCAGCGGAAACTCATAATAACCCATTAGTCAAGGAAGCTGTAGATTACACTAAAGACGACCCCACTCGATTCAGAAGGCCCCGTCGCTCGGTTGAGTGAAGGCCCCACGACGTCTGTCAAAATGAACAGTTTGTTCATCAAATACCCCAGTCAGGAAGGGGTACACAAGGCCAGAGCGGCATAAATGTAATTGACCTTTATGTCGCCACCAAAACACCCTAAGTTTTGAACCACTCGTCCTCCTGACGAAAGAGAGTAGAAAGGGTAAGGAATAAGTTTCCAACCTTATTAAGATGAAGATGACTATCCACTTTTTAGGTACGATGACGGGCACTTCATCAGGACCAGACGCCTTTTGGATATTGAACTGTTTCAATATTCACCTGACTAGACGCTATCAAAGACTAATTTTTGGCATTGTAAATTCTGGTATGGGAATAGTAGGTGGTGCTTTTCCCAGAAAATCGACTATAGAGTAGAGTGTTCTGCTAGTAGATTTGCTTTTTCTATGGCTTTTCTTAATATTGAACAATCCGCTTCTGTTAGTGATGGAATTGTAGATTTTGTAAAGTTTTGATTAACAGCTTTAGCTACCGATCAGAAGGATCTAGACCCGTTTGAATTGGCAAGCAGTTTATCCCTAATTCTCGGATTGTGAAGTTCTTTGCTTTCATTAATTGTAAGTTTGCAGCTGTTGCAAGCATCAACAAACCTCGTTCGGTTTTGGGCCGTGGGTTTATTGCTCCACTGTCGGTAGGTGAGATTTTTGAAGGCGACAGTTCGCTCGTTATTTTTGTTGCCGTTAGAAGGTATAAAGTGTACCCTTTCTGCAGTCTGTAATGAAAAAATAAATAACATTCTGCCATAAAAATTTACATGATCATCAAACAAGACAGATGAGTAATCTGTTGACAAAAAATATCAAATCTGTATTTTCCAGAAAATCTATATTTTACAAAGGGACAATTGCATATAATTAATCACGAAATGACATTGATCAATTCTAGAATCCAGAGAAAATTCAAAATAGCATTAAAGAACCATTATTTTTCAAAATTTCATATTATTAATTTTGTTTGTTTTTGTCATCATTTAGACCAATTATGAAATAGCTCTCTTCGAAGTTATATATTTATGTGTATGAACATTTCTTGTTTATATAATTTCCTTCAAGAATCATTGTAGTTTATTGGGAATAAATAAATGAATATACTACTGAAAATACATAGTAGAGACCTGAAAGATTTGATAAAGAAACATGTTATACTTGTTTGAATAATGTGACACCCGTACTTTTCATGATCCTCAGATGAATTAAAAGCATTGAAATGTATAGAAGTAGTTAGATAGTGGACCTCATGCTTCAATTCCAGGGGAGACATGGCGTGTATACCGAAGGCACCATTGGTGGCAGCCACAATGTACGTTAATCTGTAAGTTCCCTCGCCTAATGCTGAATATTTATTTGTCGTAACCCTTTCCGTATCCGTTGGTCTTCCTATACAATATATTTGTGGCTGGTATATTTTTATGTGTACATTAGTTGTGCTTTCTTAAACTGCATTTTCAATTCCTAACGACTATTACTGAAAAATCATAACTACCTATTACATATCTACATGTTACTGAGTAACTAGATACATTTTCGAAATACACTCACAGACAAAAATACTGCATATTTCATTTCAAGCCTTGATTTCATGTTTCTTTCTATTTGTCTGAATCTTTATGCAGTTTTCATTACAAAATGGTATATGCTGAGACTCTGAGATACAGTTCATAAAGCATTCAAAATTTTTTGGGTTGATTTCAAATCATAAACTAGGATTTCATGAACAAGTAACCTACAAGCTTAAAATTGCTCATTCAAAATTGAAACTCATATATCTCCATAGACAAAACTTGGATATAGATGTCAAGAATATGATATGTGATTCATTAGTTTTATCTCATTTCAACCACTGTGACGCTGTTTATCATTCATGTTTAGACAAGAACGACAGGTGTCGCATAGAGAAAATGCAAAACTCTTGCATCAAGTTGATATGTGGTATCAGAAGAAGGTTCAGAATTTCACACGAATTAGCAGATTTATCTAGCCAACCTCAGAGAGTTCAAAAAAGTCTGCAGACAAAAACAAAGAGAAGCCTGGAGAGCCTATTGTGAGGCAGTCGGAGACTTTCCACTAGCTACAGAAGGCTCTCTCAAACGACCACCCTCCTGACGAGGGAAAATGGCGACAAAGCCGCTAACCTCAAAGGGAATGCTGAAATTCTAATGGAAACTCACTTCCCAGGTTCTGTCTTTCCTGGAACGACGAACTGGGCGGAAGTACCAACAACACCCTCAAATACGACTGGCAATCTGCTAGCGCAGTAATTGACGAGGACAAGATAAGACGGACCAAATCGGGCTTTTCCCCCTTCAAGTCACCAAGACCTGACAGTATAAGACCAGCCCTACTTCAATATGGACTGGATATTCTTATGCCGCACATGGTTGGAATATTCAGAGCCTTTTCAGTTCTGAGGTATATTCCCAGTAAGTGGAGAGAAGTGCGAGTAGTATTTATACCCAAACCAGATAGGATGGAATATACCTTACCAAAAACATTGCGACCAATTAGTCTCACATAGTTCTTCTTAAAAATTATAGAGAGGCTATGTGAGCGGTACATAAGGGAGGAAGTACTAGTTCACAACCCACTTCATCCAAATCAGCATGCATATACCCCGGGAAGGTCTACTGATTCGGCCCTTCACCATGTGGTTGGCAGAATCGAGAGATCATTGGACAACAAATAATCCACCCTGGGTATATTCATAGACATCGAGGGAGTGTTTGATAAAATGTACCCCTGGTAGTAGGAGAATGGATACTCAAGATGCTCTCTAGTAGAGCAATAATTATCAATGTAGAATACATAACAGTGAGAGGACTGGTCATGAGGGGATGTCCACAG